TTTGGTTTTTTTTTTAAAAATCTTTTCTTCAAGGATCATCTTAGCAACCTGATCACCAAATGAACACACTGACATTCTGTTTGTTCATTTGTCTATGTATTAAGTTTGCCTCCTTAATGAAACAGTAATTTTCATGATGGCTGAGACTCTACTTTTTCACTGTAACCTCACCGTCCTATCAGGCAAGGAGCTTACTCTCTTGCTTAGCAGACACACTATTGATAATTACACAAGCGTATTTTTTTCACTTTGGAATATTACAGGAAATTGGGCTACCTCTTTCAACACTAATTTTTTTTTATTAATTTCAATGAACATTTACAGAGATTTTGGATTTCCATTCATTCATTGTTGCACTTTTCTTCCCGCCCACCTCACCCCCACCCCCAGTTTGCTCTTCTTGAAAAGCAAAAGAAAAACTCCTTCATTGGCATACAATCCCCCACACGTCCCCACCTCACCCAGAGTATACTCCACTCTGCAACCCTCATTCCCAACACTAAATTTTTAAAAATTAATTTAATTTTAAAATAATATAAATATTCCAACATATTCTGTGTAAAGAAAATGTCTGAAATATGAATGTACCTTTTCAGATAATTCAGAAAAATACAGTAAAATGTTTGGGGTGGGAGTTCAAGAATTTAGATATTACTTTTTTCCCCCCACATTAACCTGTAGATTTTTTTTAAAATACTGGTTTACATACAAAAGTCATACACATTATGTTTCATTTATATACAGTGTTTCGTTCACTGTGATTCACATTATCATTCCCATACATTGCGTTTTATAAAATTAATCACCACTGACCTATGCCCACCATTACCCACTTTTTCCAGTTCCCTCTGGATCTTTTCTAATTCCTTCACCCGCTTGCCCCGCTCTGCCCACCAAACTGTGTAATATCTTATTACTTCTTACTAATTGTGTGATCTTAGGTAAGTTAACGTCTCTGAGTCTCAGTTCCTGGATATGTAAAATAAGGCTCCTGGTACTTCTTAGAGCTTTAGATTAGATGATAATACATGTAAAGTGCTTAGGACACAAATTTAAGACATATAATAACCATAAGGTCAGCAGTTCAAATACACCAGCTACTGTGAAGGAGGAAGATGGACAAGCTCCTCCCTTTAACAAAAAAATTACAGCCTTGGAAAGTAGTCATGAATTGAGCAGCAAGTATTGTTATAATTATGTCAAGCATTAGATTAATCAAAAACAAATGAAAGGTAGATTTCTTCATGTTTTGCACTACTAATCTTCCATAATTACTAATCAACTATTAATGTAATTAAGCTTTCAATTCACACAATATAGTTAGTGTAATATATTAACCAATATAATTTTGTAGTTGCAGATCTCAAGATTTTAAAAACTTGGATAGTACTAACTGAGCTAGTATACAAAAGTCAAGTAAAATATAATGTGTCTATGTAATTAAATCTGTAGTTCTAATGAGATTATCAATATGATAAAAGAAAAGGTTAAGTGAAATAACAACTTACGAATAAATTAATCAAAGCAAACAGGAAAACAGACTACTAGCTATTACAAAATCACAATATTACAGGGAAACTAGGAGGGAAAAGAAATGGAAAACTTTCAGATTAATTATGAGAAATAAGGAATAATTTACCAATTTTAATCTCATGTGCAAATGAATAATATACTAAAATTCATTTTCTTGCATTCTACTTTACCACATGCCAGTGTGTTTTAGTATAAAAATATATTTGTAACAACTGAATTGTTTAACTCCATCCATCACCAAATCTTCAAGTAAAATCAGTGCCTCAGGAAGGTTTGCATTATGGCTCCCGTGGCTTCCTCTTCTATTGGAATAACACCAACAGGGCTATCTGAGCAGCAAGAGTGAAAACTATCTTACTGTAATATGATAAACTCAGGATCAAATGATCGACAATAAATTAATAATCTAATAATATTTAACCAGAGCCTCCAATTCTAAGGAACCTGAAAGAACAGTACACAGTAATCTTAAAATGTGTAATCTTAAAATGTCCTCTTAGCTTCTGAGTTACAGTTCTTACAAAACAATGATGTCTTTCTTCTTCGGAGTGAAATTAGGGTTTCCCTAATAACTTGTCACTAAAGAAAAACCAAACTAACTCATTGCCATTGAGTCAGCTGACCCTTTATTAGGTTTCTGAGGATGTAAACTGCATGAACGGAGACTGCTTGTTTTTCTCCTTCAGAGCCACTGGTGCATTCAAACCACCAGAGAGGAAAGGCCTTTAGATTAGTAGTAGTACAGTCTCTGAGAACTAAGTCATCATTACCAGCAGGATCAGCATCACAAAGTAACAAATAGTTGTTCCTTGGGAACTAGTGATTATAAATTTGGAGGATCTATTTGATACCAAATGACAAAAGCTGACACTTACCTTCATCCTGGTAATCAGACCAAAAAGGTACATCTGACATGACAGAGGGGCCATGAGTTCCACTGTGATTATCATCAGAGCTGTCCTGTCCGATGTAACTTTCAGTTTGATCACCCCCTGTGGGACAGAAAATAAAGAAAATGTCATTCAATAGATATCTTCATAAAGGTGTGTGTAGATCTCTTATGATATTCACATTCATAAGAATGTGTCTTACTTGATGGACACATCCACTACCCATCAATCTAAGAAAAAGAAATAAATTTACAAACTAACTTACCTGGATGGGAAATTTTCCCTTCAAGGAACTATCAAACTAGAACTTAAGAACTATTAGTGTCAACAAGTAGAAATCTCACCACTGTAACACATTTAAAACAGAAACATTGTTATGTACTCAAATATACTCTATTATACCACAAGTTACAACTTTTAACTTGAATGCCTGTTTCTCTTTGCAATTTAAAAAAAGAAAAAATGTACAAAGAGCTAATTTTCCAGAAAAGCTTTTCTTTATCTAGCAAAGTCCATTTTATTTCCTTCTCTTAAAAATGAGAAGCAAAAATAGACCTGAGACTTTCTTGGATTCTATATGTATTTAAAACACTACTTGTTTTGCAACAAGAACGAAAGATCTTTTAACTTTAGTTTACAGTCTGTGCAACTGACCTCTTAGGAATTCTAAAAGCCCTAAGAAGGTAATATTTGTTCTGTAAAACAAGTTTGATTCAAATTAATGTGTAAAACACTGTTAATCCCTTTTGAGTATTTTCAGCATACTCGGGATTATATTTTGTTATAGTGGCTGGTGCTATTTTTTGTATTTTTAAAGGTTTAGACAGAAGATATTAGCTCACTCAGAAATCAAAAGAAAAGATTCTGCATTGCAAATGACTTTCCTTAAAATTCCCCAAACAGAGGCAGTCTGTTGATAAAAGGACATCAACAGCTGCTCAGTTCATTTCACAAACATGAAAAGAGGATTTTCAAATGAATTTAATATTATCCCAAATACTAATTTCCAAAGGAAATCACCAATGCTAATCTCAATAAACACTGTAGAGTTTTGGCCCTGGATTTCAACTAGGGAGCAGTGAAACCAAACAACCTACATAGAATTTGTATTGCCTCACTTTAAAGGTTTATTTCCTACAATTAAACTAGAAGGATTGGGAGGGTATAAAATGATAAAAAGAGAATAGCTATTGCTTTCTCTTCCCATAAATTAGATGATCACATCTAGAGTCTCTTCTACACATATTCAGGGTAGGTGGACATCCACAGCTGAGCTGAATACCAGCAGGTACAGTACATTAGATATAACTGGAAAAGTTTATCGTAGAGAAGTAAAATTAAAACCACCTCACAAAACAGTGGGTAGCTGAAGCCAAAAGAAATATTCTCCTTTATTAGCTTACCGATCAGTACACAAGAGCTTATGGTCATGCTTAAAGCATCACTATGCAAATTTCCATTATAATCAGAAAAATTCTCAAATACTGAACTAAGAGCTAAAATGCTCAAATTTTACATCACTATAAATCCACTAAAATTATATTATCAATATGATCTAAATGGACTTCCTGGCAGGTAACATGAAAGTAAACTGCTAAGAGTAAAAGGAATTTTTTTCATTATGAGTCAAATCAGCCAAACAAAACTTAATATATATGAGGTTTGCCGAACATTATTTATCAATTACCATTCTAAACTCAAAGTTTTGCTTGCACTAGAAATTGGGCAAATCTACAACTAAATAAAAGGGAAAAAACACTACTTTTAAACATCATAGGATTCTGGGCTTTAAAAAAAATAAGACAATCAGAAGTAGGGGGCTGGGGTTTTCCCTCCAATTAATTCTGGAATAATTTTAGATCTATGAAAGAAATGCAAAGATAACAAGCGAGTTCCTTTACCAAGTTTCTCTCCATGTCAACTTCTTTCATAATTAAAATATATATGTCAATAATACTAAGATACTAACATTGGTCCATCCCTATGAACTGAACTACAGATTTTCCTTTGATTTCATCAGTCTTTCCACCAGTGTTCTTTTTCTATTCCAGAAACAAACTACTATAAATAGATTGAAATGTATAATGCAGAAATATATTGTAATTTGGGCTTCTTTTTTTAAAAGTAATATCCAAAATACCTGTCTGATTTTGGCACTCGATTTATTAACCCCAGATGGAAAAGTCAACTCCATAGGATTCCTAGAGTTTCTTAGAGAATTTACATAATCAGGGCTTTTAACATCATCTTTCCACACTCCAACTACAAAACAGCCTCCATAAAGCATATAGCAACACAGGTATACACCTGGACCCAGCAAAACGGAGGCTGGGTAGATATTAAAAATTACTGTAGTGGATAAAACATTTGAAAATGTTTTACACACAAGTGTAATTAGTTCTTGATAATAGAGATGTTGTTATAAATGCTTTTAGTGTCATATCAATTGCCCAACTCCCTTGGGCACACAAAAACAAGTCTCTTAACACTACATAACTAGACACTCCCATGTAATTAAAAGTATTATAGCTACTGAAGATGCAAGGGTGAAAAGTTTTATAGAATAGCTATAAATACAGTGGTTTTGAGTTTAAGTTTAGCACATCATTTTCCCCAGAAACATAACTAACTGCAAGTGTTCTCTGGATTATTCTATACCTCTGACAATCTCAGTTCCAAGTGGCCACCACTATAGTCCACTGGGATCAGACATAAATGATCACAAGCTATAGTGACAGACGTTTCCACTCAGCAGCTCTACAATTAGGGTTTAGGAACTCCATCTGCTTAGAGTGGTTTTCTCACAAGCAAAACCCTTTGCCACTAGAGACATACTTTCCCCACTGCAACTCACTCAAAATCAATATATTTCTACACAGATATATATTTTAACACACCATATCTCCATCAATCACATCCACTACCTTCAGTCCTTTCCCTTTGTATTTCTAAACATTATTTGGGGGAACTATATCAAGGGTTTGCCTGCTATTAGCTAGTAATTTGTTCCTCTATCCTAAGTGTCATAAGAATTGAATGCAAGATACACTCTTTAGTATATTCAGTGGCAGGTTCTCCATGGAGTATGGTGCTAAGGGGCCTATAAGGGGAACGGTTTCTCTATTGTTTCTTCCTGAGAGTCAAATTCAATTTCATTCATGCTCCATAGAGTGATAAGTTGGGAATTTCTGAGGATTGGAGCAGCTTTGTGTCAGGTGTGAAATAATTTGCTAGGGTTTCTGTGTTACTTGTTTTTTATTCCCTGTGTTTTCATTAACAGTTAATGAGTCCCCCCACCCTTAATTCTGAAACAATAGCTTGGCCACTAGAAGTTGGCTTTTTTCTACTACAGATTCAACCAGCTGTTGCTGCTCCATAAACTTTATGGAGAAGTGAATTAAACTGCTGAAAACTTTCATTCTAAATTCAATTCTAAATAATAAAACAAGGAGGAAAAAAATGAACCATGATGATGTGCCCCTTATAACTATTTTGACTCACAGCAAACTTGTCTGGTTCTGAACTTGCAGGTATTATTACTATTTAGGCACCAAAAAGACCATTTTGCCAATGAAATACAAAAATGAAAAGACAGAGAAAGTTGTTTAAACATCAAAAACAAGATAGGAACATAATAAACATATAAATGTTTGCTAACACGTAAAGGCTAAATATTTTTGTCTATTAATAAATTCATCATCTTTTCTTTCTTTTAAATGTGAGCTTTATTTTAAAGTTTTTATTTACATCTAGAACCAACAGTTAACAGGGTTAAAAGCTTTCTAGAGTTCTCTATTACAGCACAACTATCTTTTGATTAAATAAAAAAGCTGAATATATAATTGTTCACAATTTGTTGGGTTTTGTTTTTATTGCTGTTGGTGGGAAAGAACACAAGACTGCTGACTACTTAACATGGAACTCACGAGCAATACAGTTCTCATTAATAAATCCTCCCTAAAATGCTATAAATAAAGGTCTGCAATCCAAATCCAGGTATCATGCCTGGTGGCATTAATACTGTCATATTTTCATGGACCAGTTTAATAATAATCCAGTTCCCAATAATCTAGTTCCCTGGGTAGTTTGGTAAGATTAGCAAAATTGCAGGTTATTATAATTCTTTATTATATCTCTTCACTCAAGGTATTGAATATAACATCTAACAAAAGAAAAACCTTGGACACAGATGCATCTATATATGTGAAGCGTTACTCACGGATAAATATACAGCACATTGCAACACCAAAGCTGAAGTTCTGTCAACATTTCCATTATAAATTATATACCTGCTTACCCTCATGCATTAGAAAATGTATAGTGTTTCCCACAGACCATCTTAGAGGCTCCACCGGTTTCTAAATATCCATTTGGATTTGCGTGGTTAGTTCTTGTGATTAATTCACATGTGGTGAAGGTCTCAAATTCTTCTCTGTTCTAGGCAGTATGACTTCCTGCCCATCTCTTTTTTCCTCTCCTACATTTATCCATAACTCAGTATAAACATTCTTTTTTTTGCCCAAGGCCTTGGCAGTGACTATAATAGTATTGAATGACATTAAGCCTACGGGATAAATGACAGGAGAGGTAAAAAATGTTTTTATTTATCATTCTTTTAAAAAGTCTCCAAATAGATCTTGACTGTATGAAATACTGCTCAAGTTAGTTTTGGATTGTTTCTTTTTTAATTTTGCATACTAAAAACCAACTTGAGATCAAGTAGATGCTGACTTAGAGCAGAATCACAGGACAGAGTAGAACTGCTCTTCAGAGTTGTAAAACTTTATGAAAGCAGATTACTACATCTTTCCACAGAGCAGCTGGTGGTAAAGAAATATGAATCTTTAGTTTGGCAGCCAAGTGCTTAACCTCTGAGCCATCAAACTTCTTGAAATTGTTGTTGTTGTTGTTGTTGATTGCCATTGAATCGAGCATGACTCCCAGCAACCCTGTGAACAAAAGGCCTGAAGCCTTTCTATAACTATTGTCATTTATCAAAGTTCATAGAGTTTCCAGAGACATGTTGTTTAGGAAGTGGATGCCATTCCTGCTTCCAATCTTGAAGTTACAATACTAATTATATAATTATGTATAGGAATAAA